TTTCTTTTTAAGTGCTTCAGCTTCATAATGTTCTAGCTCGTGCATTATATCCTCGCGGTTCTTCTTTTCAGAGTCAAGGTCATCGGTTAACTTGTCAACGTCCTTTTCTATGTTATGCAATTGCCATAAATAATGCTCTTTTTTCAAAGATTTCTGCACAAATTTTTTAAACCATCAAAAGGGTATCATAATGTGTAAAACGTAAAAGCACAGTTATGCAAATCAAAGGTTTGAATTAAACCAGCTCATCTTGCAAGCGGAAGTGTCTCTCAGCTTCTTCCTTCTGTTCTTTCTTTTGTTTCCTCTCCATCACTATTGTCCTCTTTCTCTGATAAATAAGCGCTGATTTTTCTTCAGCCCTAGCTTTTTGCTCTTCCAAAGTCTCATAATCCCTCTTGAGTTCTTCAGAACCCGAAATCTGCTCGAGGAGCCCCGTAAGTTCTTTGGGATTTTTTGAAGCAATGGACTCGACATCACCCTAAGAACACAATTTGTCCACCAAATTACACCTTTACGTCTTACAAATTAGCTTAACTTCACATAAAAAGAAAGAAAAAGAAAAGCTATTCGAAAGGGGGAAACAAGATTACCTGAAAAACAAGAAAATTTCGGGCCTTAACGAGAATACCAAGTGATCTTAGCTTTCCATTGTACTCATCCCAGTTGACATTACTTCCATCGATTTGGTACTCGCTACCGCCAGTAGGGAGGATGGTACGGGTGAAACGGAGTTCGGAGCCACCGGCAAGTTGGTAAACTAATCGCACAAATGCACGTCGGCCACTTTGCTCCTTCTCACGGTCGTCGAAAGCATAGATTAAGTCTCTGAGTTGGGTTCCACGTAGCTGACCAGTTCGGACTCCGAGAACGAAGCTTATTGCGTCCATGAGATTCGACTTGCCGGCCCCATTAGGTCCAATAATGGCAGTGAAGTCAGAGAAGGGACCTATAGTTTGAAGCCCCTTGTAGGACTTAAAGTTATTAAGCTCTAATCGAAGTATTTTTCCTGGAGAGGTCAACGACGGCATGGTTTTTCACTTTTTTCGGTTTGGGGTCTTCTTAATTTGGATCAGCGATGTTAGGGTTTTGAGGAGTCGGGGTAGAATGATAAAAAAATGTTGTAGGTTTTGTTCGGATTGGAGGAAACGAATGTAATTTTCCGGGAAAGTTGGTGAAAATGGAAAGTTCTAGGGATTCAGTAATCAGTAGGAAGAGAAGTGGCGGGAGTACAGAAATTTGGGGGATTTTATAGCGGTATTAGAATTTGAGCTTCCATTTCGAAAATTGAGAGAGAACACTGAGAGTGACCAAAATCGCAGAACACTTCTACTTCTGATAGGCTTTTCGGATTTACGTTAGCCGTTGAAAAAAATGTACTATTTGATACATCGTCCTCGCAGGTTTTGGGCCGTTAGGCCCGCTTTTAATTTCACAAACATTTTTTTACAACAAATTTGATACATATACCATAAAAAATACGAAAATTATAAAAAAATTATTGAATTTTGAATTTTTTTTTTATTAATATGGAGTGAATACAAGACAATATAGGTTCAAATATAAGTTTCAACCTTTTGACATCGAATGTTCAAATCACTCCTTGCATCTATAGTGCTCAAACCCGAATCCTCAAAGGATAACAACAATTGTTTTATCACGAAAACCACCTAATTCGTGATAAATTTTGAATTTTATATCATTTTATAGTTTAAACTATTTATTTTTATATTAAATTTTAATTTCAACTTTAACTATAATTTAGGTCCTTAAGTTATTAACATGATGATAATATAGTTGTTTTTTTTATTTCTATTAACTTTAGTTTAAGTATCAATTTTGTGACGAAAGCTTAAAACGTTTTAATTTTATAACTAAAATTTAGTTCTTGTATCAATTTAGTCCACGTAAAAATCCTTCAACTCCTTTGCCTGCTAATGTTGGTCAATTGGCATTCATCATTAATTATTATTTTCGGTAAGATCAATATCAAAATATTCATATTTCATACATCTTTCTTCTCTTTAAATTGACTTTTCACTAAATCCACTCGAAATCGATGAAAGTCGATCCAAAGGTTCGATATTGCGATGTTCTAATATCCCCCGGCGACCATTCGACGAAGTTAATTTTGAGATATATTTAAGATACTAGGATATTAGTGAACTTCAAATAATTTTTAACAAATACCGTAAATCTTTCAAATACAAGAAAATCCCTTGAAATCGTAAATCTTGCTTTAGGTGAACTTACCGACCTAATATCCTAGTTAAAATTGAAATTAAAATTTAATATAAAAATTGAAATAATTTAAATTTAATGATAAAAATGATATAAAATATTATTAAATATAATTTATCTCGCTTTAGGTGAACCCCAAAAGCTCACTTTTCTTAAAAAAAATTAACATCCATAAGTTAAAAAAAACATAGCGGATACTAATACCAAACAAATATTATTTAAGTTGAAATATTAATATCTTTTAAAGAAACAATTTATTAAAAATAATATCTTTGAATTTGATTTTTCTCAATAGTTTTATTATTTTTTATTTACTGTCAAATCTCTTAAATTTTATGTAGTCAAATAATAATATTTTATAATAAAAAATTTAGATTAAAGATGCCAGTGGTAGAATTTAAATTTGACATTATATGCTCGAATTCTTGGATCATAACTATTTATACAAACCCTAATTGATAATTTTACAATAAAATATTTAATAATTAGAATAACTAAATTGATATGATATTTTATATTAATAAAAATTTTAAAGAATTAAAAAAATTATCTTTATGTAGCAGTCACCGGATTTTAAATTTCCATTGTTCTTATCAATTTTTTTTTATTTATTTTAACTATTTTTTCTTGGTTGTGTGAAAAAATTAATCCAACAAAAATGAAAAAAAAAATATTTTTCCTTCTCATTATTATTACTTTTTGAATATCCATTTATTAAATTTTAACGATTAAGAAATATCAGCATAATTTTTTAAATAGTATGTAAAAAATAATATAGTATTTTTATTTAATATATATAATATAATATTATTTATTATACTCTTATTAATTAATTGTTTTTAAAAAACCGATAGCTAGTCATTTGTTCATACCATAGTCCAAACAATAGAGTCGATGGCCATTTTTTTTGGTGAGGTGCACAGCAAGAAACAAACGTTTTGAGAAATAACAAAACTTCAAAAACAAATACATATTTTATTAAGATAAATGATTGAAACACAACTCTATTACGTAATCTAACGATTTTGATCAAATCTTTAATATATTTAGAACTATGAGACCTTATTAAAACTAGTTGAAGAACAAAAAATAAACCCTAAAAATTAAAATAATTGATCCTGATAAAATTGGGAGCAGTGTAGTTTGAGTCGATAGATAAAATATTATATCGCTTATAATGCCCTAATTTGGTACGACCTGAAGATTGATGGATTAGAACATTACACGAGACCACCTGAGTGGCTAATCCAAAAAAAATCTTTTAAACAACGTTTAACATGATCAGATCAAATCCATAAAATAAACACGAGTTTGAATATCAAAATATAACTTTTACAAAATAGGAGCTCCATCGTTAAAAATCAAATACAAAATCATAAGAAATGGAGTTTACGACTCAAATAGAAATAAGGTCCCTATGAAGTACATGCCAACTACTAAGTATCTAAGACATACTTTGATCAGAACGATCCAAGTTGGAAATCAAATTTGGCGATGGCTCCTCGATCCGTTCTCCTAAAAACATGCGGACATAACACATTCTGAATGTTAAGCTCACAAGCTGAGTGGCACATAAACAACTCTAACATACTATATGCATTCATTGCATGAGCGTATGAACAAGTATAAGCATGAACATGCAATAAATCCGACACACGATAAAAATAGGCATAATAGTGTAGTCGAAGGATCACATATCATCTCGGAACTCGCACCCCTCTATCTTACTTAAGTTACCCTAGATAAAACTTGGGTCACACAACACCATAATCTTCATTTAGAAAGACCCTCGTTGCCTAGTACCTAGGGCGCCTTCAGGGATCACTTAACATTGGAGCATACACCTTCAGGGATCACTTAACATTGGAGCATACGTCCAACTAGCATTTAAAGTGTAAAAGCAGTAACTTAACACATTCGAATGACTAAACACACAAGATGAACGTCATACATCTAAAGTAGTACAGTATCCATATCATTTCCCAAACGTCACACAAAGGCAAGTGTTATGTCGTCTTAAATTATGTAGTCCTCAATATAATTATTAGAGCTTATTAGTTATACCCACTTTTAGTCTTATTAAAGAAATTCTCATGACTCATAACCCTATTCTTTTGTCTATTTTTATTTTTATCATTAACTATAATATATAATATATAAATAAAATTTTAATTGATTCCTAAATATTAGATTTAGCATTTTGGTTAAAGCTTTCCTTGGTTACTAATTGATCTTGGGTTCAAATGCAATTAAGTTACTTAATTTTTGTTTTTCTCCCTAAACTTGAACAAGTTATATAACATATGTATTATCTTGATAACAAATGTGAGATTAGCGCAACGATTAATTCTAAAATCTAGGGGTTTAATCTATAAATTAATACATGATTAGAATAAAAAGATTTTAAATTTAATGCTCAAAATAAGACATTAGAAAAATTAAAAACAAAATCAATATCAAATGGCATTAAATGAAAATAAAAAAAAAACAAATTATATATAAGTAGTGACCAAAATGAAAGAAAACAAAGCAACGTGTCAGCATTGCGAATACACAACTTTACAAGGACCCGCACATTAATTATACAATTTTGTTGACTTCTATGTAAACCCATTAAAGTTAGTGATTATATTGAAACCATTTAAATTGAAACTATTTAAATAGTTCAATGGTCACATTTAATGCAAATTTAAAATAGTGATTGTTTTGTGATATGATCTTTAGTTATGTGGTCATTTATGTAGTTTATTCGAAAGAAACATAACGGTTCTAATTTAGCAAATAAAATATAATTACACAACCGATAAACTAATCACCGTGTCCGGACTACATAATTTTATTCCCTAACTACAGCAAGTCAACCATAAAGTTATCCAGCACTGCATCACAAGTCATGGAAATGAACATTAGCAAACCCTCTCAGATTCCTCGGTTCTCGTTCGATATTTCGTATCACTGTCGGATTCGATACCACCTGCTTTCTGGGAAGCATTCATCTGGGTTTCATTATGGGTGAGCAGGGAAGCGATGGTTTCATCATGGTTTGATGGTGAAGCACTCACCACACTTTCTATATCGGTCTCGGCAGGAGCAGTGGGAATAACGGCAGTGGTGTCGGCTTTCGAACCAGTTTCCAGCACCTCGAATTTGGAGATGACTTGTTGAAGTTCATCATTCAAATTCAGAGCCTCAAAGAGGATTCCATCATCGTCTGTAGTGCTTTCTATATCATCTGAATAGCTAGCTGTGACTGCTTGCATTTCTCCAGCATGCTCTCCGTCAGCTCATCCTGTCATCACACAAGAACTTTTCTGAGTTTTTCAGCGTTTAATAACTAGGATGATGCTATGCCGACGGTGTCACATCGGAAGAACAAGAAGATTCATGATGCAGCATGGCATTTTGAAACATATAATAACAAACTAAAATGCAGAAGCATTTCATTTCCTGGCAAACCAAAGAGGTCAAAGAGAATGTACATTCAGTTCTACAGGGTCAACCGATGATAGCTACACAGCAGAAGTTGTCCGATATGCAGCTAGAACTACGAACAAATAAACTACTTGATTATAATTAAATCATGCTGGAACCAGAAGAATTACCTTTGGGGTTTTGGCTCCGTTCCCGTACTCAAGATGCTAGAGAGCACCTCAAGGCTGTTCCGAGTTACTTCAAAAAGCTCCTTTTGTTCGACAGATAAACTCCCACAGTTATAGGCAAAATCATTACCCTGCAATCCGGTGTTATTGACAGGATAATTTTCAGGGGTAGGCAATGGCTCTCCCATATAAGATTCCAAGGTCTGGTACAAGGGTGCGTTCCCATCATCAGCATTCACCGGGATTTGTGTACTTCGTTCTTTCAAGCTCTAGTTTACGTTAAAGGAGGAAAAGTAAGCAAAAATCTGGAGAGTTAAGAGTATTTAAATGCACAATAGCTAGCATGCAATTGGTTTAGCCACATTTCACAGAGAAGCATCCAATCCCATGGTATCATGATAATTAGAGTTAATTGGATAACTTGTCCTCAAAGTATGACCCTCATTTTAAATTGATCATTAATTTTTTAAATGTTATATTTTTATCCCTAAACTATGATATCATTTTCAATTAGGCCTCAAACTTTTGAATATTTCAATTTCATTCCCAAACTATGGACTTCATTATAAATTGGTTCCCAAGCTTTTTGAACATTCTAATTTCATCTCAAACTATACGTACTTACTAATCAAATCCCTTATTAATAAAATTGTTAGGCCAAGTTATATTGTTATATGTTTGAAGAAATAAAATTTAGGTTAAACTAGGGTTGAAACTAAATTACATATTTAGATGAATTTGGGATGAAATTGAAATATTCAAAAGTTTGGGAACCAATTTAGAAAGAGTCATATTTTAAAGATGAATTGAATATTAAAAAATTTGAAAACAAATTTAAAATGAGAGTTATAATTTAGGACATACGATGCAGTTAATTCTGATAATTATTACATATAAAGAAATTTTAGTCACCGTGGTACCATATCTTGTAATTTTTCTTCGTATATTAAAAATCATAATACAACAGTATGTAAGAATGGTTTCCCCCCTTTGAACCACGTATATCTAATGTTCTTACATGTTTCATTCTTTGTTTTCTTATGCCTATGCTTCATCTAATCTCGTTCGCTTATATAAGGTTTTGTTTCCCAACATAATGGCGTTTATTATAATCTCTCTCATACTGGCATTGTTACGGTGAAAGAGACTGAGTTTAATCGGGTTAGATATTATTATCAGAGGATTACTTTATGAGTATACGATTGAGAATATTATCACAGTCTGTCGTAACAAAATTCACAAATCTCATTTTCAAGTCCGCAAACACATTAGAACATGCAGGGATTAAAGATGAAGGCCTCATACCTACAAATTTTGATGCCGAAGATAAAGTTGTTGCCAATGTTCTTATTAGAGTATGTTTATGTCCTTTTATGTCCTTGAAAGAACGGATACTAATTGCCTTTGTGGTAGGGCACATTTAACTTCCGGGAGAAAAAAGCTGACCAAAAACGGAGGAGTCAGAAGCTTTAAATGATGTCCCAAGGCAGATGAAATTTGTCATCTTGGCCTTTAAAATAGAAGCAACAAAGGAGGAAGGAGCCCCCCCACCACATGGCTTGCAATGCCCTCAATCAGCTATATAGCATACAACTTCATTATAGTTTCCATCTCCATTTTTTTGTGGAGATGAATGGTTTAATGGTACGGGTAGAGCAGGTCGCTTCACTTGGTGGCCTACCAGTTTTTGGAGGTTTATGAGCTGATTTTCTGCAGGAAAAAAGAAAAGAAAGAAGTGCAGATGCTTACATTTTGTTTTGGAGTAATTGTTAATGTTGATGAGAAGAAGTGGAGAGTAAAATAGTGGCAATGGATCATCAATTCAACAGGATCAAAATTGGGGCAGGCTGTTATAATTAAGGCAGCTAAGGACAATCAAGTTTGTCTTCGTTTGAGTAAATATCAATGTGTAATGAATGTAAAAATGCATATGGGTACTTTACTTTTGTCTATCCAATTAGGTTCTATCATCTCTAAATTCCCCCCAAAAATATTAAGCACAATCATCATTTGAGAGATGTCATTCATCTACTTTGGTTTGTATATGAAATAATATTTCATGGTGTGGTTAAATAATTATAGTATATATTTATATATTATTTGTGGATATGAACAATAATTGCTATCATCAACCCAAAGTTGGAATTTATTTGATTTTTTATGTTTTATTAATTCTTACTCACCTAACCTATGACATAAGTGATATATCAATTTGATGGTAAACATTGCAATCAAATGAAAGTTGAGATTTTTAGGGGGAAATGGGAAATACAAGACAAGGCCTTAACTTTATTCTTCTATCTATGTTTTCATCTAAATCATGATTAATTTTAATTAATTTTCTTTTTCCTTTCAAAACCCAACAATTCTTCCATCAAATAGGGTCCATCTGGTTAACCCTTTTGCTTTCTTTTCCCCTCTAATTTCCTTTTTTGTTTTCCAGTTTTGTTTCTTTAGTTTTTTTCTTATTGCAGCTCTCTATCCTTCTGTGTCACGTAGCTTTGCTGAGAGAGGGAAGAAGGAAAGAGAAAGAGCTGAACTCGAAGCTATTATGTTTGATGCTTAAAGATTGAATATTTGGCTATTTTCCACTGAATATTTTTCATCACTCGGATGTCTATCAAGATCCGTGCGTGTTTTGTTTCACCAGCTTAAAACCCATTTCAACAAAAGAGGTATGGTTTCAGTGATAAAGTGAAATGATTCTTCTCTATGTTTTAAATGATTTGCTGGTTTTGATTACATAATCCGGCGCCTGTTGTTCTGGAATTGGATTGCAAGAGAAATTGGGAAATTATCCTGCTTTAATGTATATCTTCTTTTATATAAAAAAAACTTTTTTTTAATAAATTTTGTGAATTTGCATAATGCCCTTTCTATTTGATGCTCACAAACTGGAAATTCTGGATCCTACTGGTAGCTACTTGAGACATGGTTTTTGATGGTGTTAAACTTCAAACACTTATCAAGCTTTCTTCAGTTTCTAAATGAAGAGTGAATACACTTTTCATTATTGGAGTTCAAGAGTTCTCTATCTATGACTCCTTCACTCCCATAACATAAGCAACGGAGGTGTGTTTTATACATTTACACTTAACAAAGCTTTTAAAGTATGAAATCATTTTCATTTTAGCATTCTTTTTCCTTCCATTTTTGCTATCCAAGATCACAATTGCTAATTGTGTTTGTTTTGATGAGGTAAATTAGTCAAAAATCTTCTTTCACATACCAAACTAATATATTAATTGTGGACGAGAACTTATAATTTATTTTAGGGTAAATTACACCAATCATCACTGACCTTTTCTCTTTACTGTTTTACTCACTGTACTTTAATTTCCTTCATTTCGTTTTGCATCTATATAACAACCAATCTATAACGTCCTTAGTGAGAAAACAGTGGACTGACCAAATAACCAAATATATTAAGTTCAGTGAAGAAATCGAACCGATTTAAAGTATGAGTGAAATAGTAGGGAGAGTAAATATCAGTGATGATTAGTGTAATTTACCCTTTATTTTATTGATAATATTATATTTTGTTGGAAGTTAGCATTTCTATATAGGAAAAAGTCAACATGGAGAATGCCATGAATGTGCAAATAATATATTTTCTGCAACGATGAATGGATGCTTGTTCTACTCATAGGCATTAGTCAAAAGCTTCCCCATTTTTTTTAATGCATGAAGTCTTGTACTTATGAAAAGATCATGTCTGAGCAGTTTTCATACTACTTTGAATTGTATATATGTATGTATATTTTAAATTCTGTATGCTTCGTTGGAATACAGGTCAAATGGACACAACCTCGGTGAGATGTCTTATCAACAGTATTGCTCGATTCATTCATCTTGTATCATGCCAGGCAATAAAAGTTGTTCCTATCGAAAAGGAATACAGGAATATGGCTGTGGTGTTAAAACTTTTAAAACCGCTGCTTGATGATGTTGTTGATTGTGAGATACCTTCGGATGAACAGCTGTGTAAAGAGTGTGAAGAGCTGGACATGCTTGTTAATGAGGCTCGAGAATTCATGGAGAACTGGTCTCCTAAGATGAGCAAAATCCACATGGTAAGTTTAATCTCAATCTTTACAGTTTGGAAATCATACCTAAAAGAAAAAAATAATAGTGCTCGAAACTTGGATGCGTTTCCTGTTGATTTTTCCAGCTGCTTTATAGTACGAAACCTTTTATAGGAAGAATGTTGGTTGCATTAATGCCAGGAAATATAAGTACCTAAACTTCGACTTCCGTGAGGTTCTGCTAAATTTCTGTTAATTAGTAGGTTATTATAGTTCGTAGAGGAAAACTTGAATGATCTGCTGCAAATATATCCCATTTTATTACAGAGTGCAAGAAAATCTATTGCTTGGAAATGTAATACGGTCAAATTTAATGGTAATAAGGTCGCCAGATCGGTGCCATTTAGATATTAAAATGCTGTACTTCTTAGAAGAACAAGAACACTTGAGTTATAAAATGGCAAAGGTAATCCAGTTTATTATAAATTGCTATTTCCCTCGTTTTTTATGTGCAATCAAATGTAGCATATAGTAAAATGAATATCAAAGGTGCCGGAGGACTTCCTCTATCGTGTCCTAGTCGCCCCAAAAAAAAAGAATCTTGAATATTTGATGTTAACATGTATTATGCATACCTTTCCCTGTTGAATAAAGAAACAGTATTTTCAGGCTTCTACTACCATTCTATTTCAACCACTTATTTTTGTTTTAAAAACGTGCACAGGTTCTCCAGAGCGAGCCTTTTCTGATAAAAATGCAAAGCTCTTCACTAGAGATATGTCACATATTATATAAATCATTGCAGTCATCACCATCGACTTCGAGTATAACCGGTGTTCAGGTAAGAAAAAAATCTAATGCTGTTGCTTAAATAGTATATTCAGACGACAAAAGTGCTATTCATATTCTTTTTTTACAATTTATTGCCCTTTTAGAAATTGTTAAGGCAACTGGATGTGATCTGCTATCACTTTCGCAGTCTGAGTTGGCTGAGTAGTGAGACTAATTTGATGTTCAACTGTTTCAGCACTGTATTCGGGAAATTAAATGTCTGAAGCAGGAGAGACTATCCGACAATATAGGAGAGGCTTTGAGAAGTCTAGAAGATGGTGCTATTCATGGCTCTGATCATCTGGTAAAAGTTATCAAGTCGCTGAACTTGGCTTCAAACCAGGAACTGTTGAAAGAAACTGTGGCTGTGGAGAAAGAGAGAATGAATGCGCAAGTCAACAACAC